GCTGCCAGAGCCGCTGCCGGGCTGCCAAACCCTGGGTTTAGCCCAGTCCCACTAATTAAGACCCAATTAGCAGTCCTGCAGCATGCAGCCTGAGCTGACCCTGCAGAGTTTTGCCCCTCCGGGGGCCAGCAGGCAGCAACCACCCCAACAGCACCCTGGGGTGGCTCTAAAATGGGTCAGACCCCTCCTGGCATCGGGAGATGAAGAAATGAGCTTGCCAAACGCACCGTGGAGCCTCCGCCCGCCTCCTCTGCGTCCCAGCACAGCGCACGCAGGGTTTTATTAAGGACCAGGCCCCCGCGTTCCCAAGGTGCTGGCGGGAGATGCAGGTCACGGAGCGAGGTTCTGAGGTGGCACCCGGAGCCAGCCAGCGACGCGCTGGGCGCTGGGTACAAAGTGGTGGTGTTTAATCACTCGATATACAACAGCACGTTACGCAGCCACGTGCCCCCCCTCGCCCTTTCCCAGAGAGAAAAGAGAACTATAAAGTTTATCGAAGGATAAAAAGGAGGATCCTTCCCGTCCCACAGCGGCAGGGCTGCCTCCCAGCCCTGCTCAGCCCCAATCCGGCTCCGGGCAAGGAGCGGGGACACTTTGGGGACATGCCACCCCGGCAGGCCCGGGACAAGCTCTCGCAGACGGCGCATGCAGGAGGGGAGGGCGGCCAGCACGTAGCAGCGCTGCTGGGGCGGAGGCAACTGCCCAAGAGAGTCCTTGAGGCTCAAGTCCTACCAGATAAACACACGGAGACGAGGCCACGCTGGGGAGAAAGGAAAAGCACCCTCCCTCCCCACCAAAAAAACCCAAATTTTAAAACAAAGAAAACCAAACAAAATAGCAGTTGGAAGAGACATCCTCGGCTTGTCTGGGCCCTGTGCCGCCGCCCCCGCTAGCGCCCGCCGACCCAGCTAGCGCTTGGAGAGCTCGTGCGAGAGCCAGTCCAGCCCGTCGTAGAGCCCCGTGCCCTGGGTCGCACACGTTGCCTGCACGTACCACTGCAAAACAGAGGGAAAAGGAGAAAAAGCGCGTCGGGCTGGGCAGATCACCAGCCTGGTGCCCACAGGGCTGGGGACGGCGACTCACGGTCCTGCTGCGCAGCGTCTGCAGCCCCAGCTTGTCGGTCAGCTCGCTCACCGCCATGGCGTTGGGCATGTCCTGCTTGTTGGCAAACACCAGCAAGACGGCGTCCCGCAGCTCGTCCTCCTGCAGCTGTGGGAGAAAAAGGAGACGGCTGAGCTGGGCAATGCTGGAGGGCGGATCTCGGTGAGCTGGCGGTGAGCCACCACGGCGTTGGCACCCCGGCAAGCAAAACCCAGCTTGGACAAACCCCACGAGCTGGGAGGGGTCTCCAGCTCCTCCACTCATCTTCGATACCTCCTGCCCCCATCGCTGCCCAGAGGTCTCAGTGGCACCGGGATGCTCTTCCAGGAGCACCTGAGCCCTTCACAGAGGGGACGCCCGCGTTGGGAGTGTGGGGAGGGGG